GAAGATGGTTTCTAGAGACAGGTGGCCTGTGTTATCTTAAGGGCCTGGGGGAGGATCTGGTGTGGTCTTAGTCATACAGATAGTGCAGAGGTCACCTGGGATATCAGCCGCCTTTAGTCCTGGTTGTGGGAGCTTGGAAGAGCCCTGGGCCAAACAGATAGCACAAAGGCCACCTAGACTATTAGCCGCCCCTCCCCTGCGCAGTCCTGGTTGTGGGGACTTGGGGGAGCCAGTTATGAGATGGCCCTACAGATAGACCAGGGGTTAGCTAGGCCCTTAGCCACCTCCACCCCCAGCCTTCTGTGTGGGGAACAGGTCATACATCTTTTTCCTTGACAAACCCTGCATGTCTAACATTCTTGGCTTCCCTAGTGCTGTCTTTGATCATAACCTTTGGGATCTCAACATAGCCTCTTTCCCGTGTGTGTGTGTGTGTGTGTGTGTGTGTGTGTGTGTGTGTGTGTGTGTGTTCATGTGTATGCATGTGTGGGTGTGTGGTGGCCAGAGTTCAATCTCAGGTGTCTTTGGTAGTCACATTCTACATTTTTTTTTTTTTTTTTTTTTTAGAAAGGGTTTCTCATTCAACCTGGAGTTTATCAATTCACCTGCACTGGCGGACCAACAAACTCCAGGCCCCTCCTGTCTTTCTCTGCCCAACCTTGAGATTGCAAGTGATGTCTGGCGTTTTATGTGGGTGTTCAGGATCCAGACTCAGGTACTCATGTTTGTGAGGCAAATATTTTACTGACTGAACCATCTCCCTGTCCCCAGAAGAAACTTTCTTGCCTTGTAAAAGAGACTAATACAGTGAAGAGGCATGCTGGGATCGGAAGGAGAGGAACATCTAAGGCAGAAGTTAGAACAGGGCCTCAACACCAAATTCTGTTCTACGTACTTTCCTGCCTGTCACCAATTTAACTTGTCTAGAGGTGTGATTAGCAAAAGAGCAGGACCCTGTATCATGGGATTGTTTCAAAGGGAGAGCAAGGAGACCGGATAATGAGTTTATGGACAGAAGACACAAAGTGATGAGGATGTTTGGAATTTATATCCAGAGACCCAAACGTCAAGCCAAACTCACTCACTAATATTCATTCTGTTGACTAGGAATGGTCAAATTGATCTGATTGGATTTCCCCTGGATGCTATGAATGCAGTTGGTGGCATGGAAATTGGTGGCATTAAGCTACCAGCAGAGCCATGAGTTCAGATATGACTTTGTCCTTTCCTCGTTAAATATTGCAGAATCTTGCAACACTGCTCTCCTCACATTCAGCATGCTGCAATATGTCAACACAAGTCTGAGAAGAGATGTGGGACTGACTGTAAATCACAATTTCAAACCGACCTTCCCATGGTTTTGCTTGTTTGTTTAAGGTTTAAAGGAATTTCCCTCAGCTTGACATGGTGTACCCTTCTTAAAACTGAGATACCCAAGGTCTCCACATCAGACCCAACTCTCTGAGACCCTCTCCAGTTCGGCTTCTTATTGCTCTAAAACATCCTCCAAACTCTTTGTGGGAAGTTGGGGTAAAAAAATGTCTCCTTCCCTTGTTTTTCGAATCAATGGAAGATTCCACATTAGAAAGACCCCCCACCCCTTACCCCACCCCCTACACATACACACACAAGTGAGATCATTTCCCCTCAGATGGCAGAGGGTGAGTGAACTTCGGTGCTCAATAGGATGAGGCCACCCAGGCAGCCTGGCAGGAAGGCAGAAATGAAACCGGAGTCCCACTTTGACCCTGTTTGGACACATGTGCTTGCCAGGCTCTGGGGAGACTAAACAGAGAGCACCTGAGCAGGTGAGGTGTTCTTCCTGCCCCAGAGGCCACGGCTTCAGAAGGATGGGCTGTAGGCTCCCACCACCTCAGGAGCGCTAGCCCCACAGAGCTGCCTCTCACAGGCGTGTGAGCAACAGCCGGCTGAGCGAGCCCAACAGTCTCACACTCCTCCGTGATATTCCCATGCTGGGGCCTTCCTTTCAGTCCAGTTGTGCCATTTTTACACATCAAGGACTGAGTGTGGTTTTCAGAAGAAAGTGATGGGGGAGGGGCCACAACACACAAAGCCGGGCTTATGGCCAGACAGAGTCCGAAAGTCCCAAGGGAAGGCAGCAGCTAAGGGACATGAGCTTTTAAGAGTGCTCCCTTGAGCCACGCAGCAGTGGCGCACGCCTTTAATCCCGGCACTTGGGAGGCAGAGGCAGGTGGATCTCTGTGAGTTCGAGGCCAGCCTGGTCTACAGAGTGAGATCCAGGACAGACACCAAAACTACACGGGGTTCTAAGAGTGCTTCTTTGTACAGTCAAGTGAGCCCAAGCTTCAATTTTTTTATTTCCTGCTAAGAACACTCTTCTGAGAGGCTCACCCTCCGAGTTTGCTGGAGGCTCCTGAGTGTATGGGCTCTTGAAGGCTGGCCTGAGAGGATGAGAATGAGAGACAAGAGCCAACTTTGTGCCATCCTTTTTCCTGACAGCTTCATCAGAGTTGGCACTGGAAGGACCTTGGTCTCCAGTGAAACAGAATAGGGAATTCTGGTGGGTCAGTGGCAGTTGTGTGGAGGGGCAGTGAGGTGAGTTTTTGAGATTCACACTCCTCCATATTTGGGGTAGGTTAGGAGATTTCCCCCTTCCTACCGAAGTAGTATAAGCCCCCCTATAACCTCTGCCAAGAGAAACCACCCTAGCACTAACATGTGAGCTCAGGCTTGAGGGGTGAGGAAAGGAAAAGGTGACAGATAGAACCCCATAGCAAAGGTTTGTGGGAAGAGAGGGAGTGCTGAGAAGCACTGAGGTATGGAAGGCCACTGGCCGTGGGAAGCTGGGGACCAGAGAAGGCTTTATAATACCAGCAGTTAGGAAGCATATGGTGGGTACCCTAAGGGTCAGAGCCAGAAAAAGAGAGTAGAGGCTTTGGTGCATTTGACTGGTTGTCTGCACGCAGAGTCGCTTCCAGATTTTTGAGTGGAGGTGTTTTAAGTGGTGAGGCCTTACACAGCATGAGCAGATGTCAGCTTTTCTTAATCTTTCTTCTCCAGCACCAACAGTTTCTTTTCCTTTATCACCCAGTGAGCTTGTGATCCTGTCTGAAAAGAATTTGTTCCGGGCAAGCGGTATATCAACACTTATCCTGTATTTCTCAGGGAAACCAAGTCACTAGAACATAACTCATTTATCCCAGGGTGGTGACTGTAGAATTAGCGTAGACGCTGTCTAACCCAGAGCCAGTGAATAATCTCACACTAAACCAAAGTGTGTTTCAGAGAGTGTGGTCCTTCAAGGACATTCATACCACTAGTCAGTCGACTTCCTGTCCCTTCGAACACTGGTTTAGACAACGCTTGAAGAACTGGGTCATTGCTACATGGCCTTTCATGGTCAAGTCTTCATGGAGATACAGGCTTTTGAATTGCCTCAGACTCCTCCACACTCCTGTGAGGTCTTCTGCAGCTCCGTTGATGTACAGTCACCACAAAGGATGAGTGATTCGAACTTTAATCAGAATGCCACCGCTTTATAGATGAACCCAGCACTGTTTTCCTCCAGCCCACAACCTGATTCATATTGCCAGCGTATATAAATGAATAACCTATAGTTTCCTATTAAATCAGGCACTGAACCAGAGCTTTTGACCTTTCTTTTTTTTTTTTTTAGACTAACTAAGGTACAGATGCCCAGAACTGATTAAATAAAGAGTTTATTAAAACGTTGGCTGGAGAGATGGCTCAGTGTTTTAAGATCCCTCGCTGCTCTTGCAGAGGACCTGAGTTAGATTCTCGGCCCTCAGGTGGTGGCTCCCAACTGCCTGTAACTCCAATTCCAGGGAATCTGACACCATCTTCTGGCCTCAAGGCATCGGGCTTGCTCACGCTGTACAGACATACGTGCAGGCAGAACACCCATATACACAAAATAAATAGAATTTTTAAAAAATTGAGAAAGGAAAGAAAGATGGGTGACAGGATTTTTGTTTCTTAAAAGTTGGGTGGTTGCTCCTGTCAGGAGCTCTTCATTCCCTCATCCCTCATCATCAAAAACCCTTGGGTCTTCTCTCTGCTGATATTTCGCCTACAGGTCTGGCTTTGCTTTTACTGTGTCTCAGATTAGGCACTGAGACATTCAAACCCACTTGCTTCTTCTACCTCTAGCCCTTTTCTCCTGTTCCCCCCTCTCCAACCTGTGAGTGGCTTTCTACAAATTCTTACTTGCATTTCATTAAAGAAGAATCAACAGAGAAATACTGTAGTTTAAATAAAATCCAATTTCACCAAGCTGAAAGGGACTTCAAAATTATTCTGCTACGTTCTAGCAGAATATGAACTTCTTGCCAGGAGAAACGAAATAAGTGTCTTCAGAATTCAGAAAGCATTTCGTGTCCCTGGTGAGTCTGTTAAATCCTCTGAGGGCAAGTCTCCATTGGTGAACCCCGTACCCCCCCCCCCCCAAAAAAAAAACCCTGACTAACAAGCTTTCTTTGAAATGATCTGCTTTTGCTTAGTATCAGAAAATGGCTTTATAGACACACTTTTCCTTAAGATGATAGGTAGAGCCTCTGACGAGCAGAATATGATTTATTATACCTTCATGTGTACTGGGGATCATACTTGTTAGGAGCCCAGGAAGAGAATTACCGGAAAGGTCCACAGTAATTTGTTTTGAGTAAAGTAACGTTTACAGCAAACCATTTTCTATTTGTGTTCTGTTTGTTTTTGCTTTACATAACAGCTTTGTGGTCTCTGAACAGAGATGTTTACTGAATACGCCGAACGCTTTTACCTACTTAAAGATGGATAGCAACAGACGTTCCTGTAGGCGGGAAAATCAGAAAGAAAAAAAGTGAACTCACATCAAGATCATTGATGACAAGGGCCTGGGGCCTGTGGAGGGAGCCCTCTAAGAGGACATTTGAACAGCTGGTCTTCACCTGCAAGATGCTCTGTTGACATCTCAGGTTGCCGCCCTGCGATTGGCGGCTGGGCTGGAAGGGTGGGTCCAGGGCTAGACTTGGATGCTTCCACAATCACAGTATGGAAATTTCCACTCTTTAGGAAGCGAAAAGAAAAGAAGGAAGGGTCTCTCAGTCTACTCTTAACCGCCGCTTCCCTTGGATTCCAACCTGAAGAGAGACAGGCGGGTGAGTGAAAATGTAGTATATGTTCTCTTAAAAATGTGTCAGCGTGGAAACAGGGAAACTGTGTGGGCTTCTGTGTGTGTGCGCTCGAGTGGGAACAGACGCACGTGGGCAGAAAGCTCTCCGACCTTTCTAGGGTCTGAATTTGTTCTAGGGAACTGCAAACTAATGGGTTATTTTAGGCTAAAGACTAGGGACTAAAGTAAACCAGGACAGACGAAGGGAAGCCCTTGACCGCACGGTAGATCGCCGTTCCGGCATGGCTGTAGGTTGGGCTCGGTTTTGCCCAGGCTGTTGGTTCCTCGGCCCCGGGATTTCTATCTGGGACCACCTTGCCACCAAAGAGGGTCGGACCCTTTCAGGGGGATCTCCGCACGGCTTCGGATCGCGCATGCAAGGTTTTACCCGAGTCGAGTCGCTGGAAACTGTGCTCGTGCGGGGTTGGGGGTGGGGAGTGACGGACGCGGGTACAGGGTTTAAAATAGACTTGAAGTCTCTTGGTAGTTAGCTGTCCCAACGGTGCTCCCAGGGTGTGGGGCTCGAGGTTGGAGTCGCTGGACAGACAGCAGGCACCAAAACGGGGCATCAGTGTGAGGTCGAGGGCACCAGTGGGAGGGAAGAGACCGTGAAGCCAGCGCAGGAGCACGGAAGGAGGAGGAAGGTGGGAGGGGATGGGGAGAAGACGCGGAAACTTTTTCGGGCCGTGAGCGCGGGAACCGGCGGCAGTCTCGGTCTCGGGACCAACCGTCCGACCAAGGTGGCTCTTCATCTGTGTGGGGATCAGGCCGAGGGGTCGTGGGGACCTTCAGAGAGGGAGAGGCAGAGAAAACGCCCTTTCCACGCGCCCCAGAATGCGATGCTTCTAGGCTGCTTGACCCAGTTGAAGGAAGCGGGGCGTGATCCAGTTGAAGGAAGGGGGGCGAACTGACCCACAGGGATCAGGGATGTGCGGTCGGTCGGTCGGTCGGTCTAGGTGATTGCCCGAGCGACTGGAGGGATTCGAGGCTCGGAGAGTCGCCTGCATTTCTTAACCTGTAAATGGGCACAGTGATAGAGTCTATCTGATGAGCTAAGTAGTGGTAGGACCACCCATGTAGGGTAGTAAGACTCCCTACATTTTCAGAGTACCTAAATACTTAATGGAGTGGTTCTCAACCCGTGGGTCGCGACTATCCAGGGGTTTTGCTTTTTGTTTGTTTTGTTCTGATTTTTCGAGACAGGGTTTCTCTGTGTGGCTTCGCGCCTTTCCTGGAACTCACTTGGTAGCCCAGGCTGGCCTCAAACTCACAGAGATCCGCCTGGCTCTGCCTCCCAAGTGCTGGGATTAAAGGTGTGCGCCACCACCGCCCGGCTTAAATAATTTTTCTTTTTATCACTTGATTATCTTACTTTTTTTTTTTTTTTGAGACAGGGTTTCTCTGTGTAACAGCTCTAGCTGTCCTGAATCCCACTTTGTAGACCAGGCTGGCCTCAAACTCACAGAGATCGGCTTGCCTCTGCTTCCTGAGTGCTGGGATTAAAGGCGGGCGCCACCACGAAAGATTTATTATGCATACAGTGCTCTGCCTGCATGTTTACCTGCAGGCCAGAAAAGGACGCAAGATCTCATTATAGGTGGTTGTGAGCCATCTTGTGGTTGCTGGGAATTGAACTCAGGACCTCTAGAAGAGCAGCCGGTGCTCCAGCCATCTCTCCAGCCCGTTTGTTTTCTTAAATCTGCCTCCCCGTCACTTTACACAAGACCAAGCAATTCTTATTGCTCAGAAATATTTGTTGAATAATGGAAGAGTCTAGCGGAGGATAAGAAGACGGTTGTGTTCTACAGCAGAATTTGCTTTATTCAGAGGGGATGGGGAGCCGGGCATGGCTCACGCCTTTAATTCCATCACTCAGGAGGCAGAGGCAGGCAGATCTCTGTGAGTTCGAGCACTTCATAGAATTTGGCTTTGGAAAGGGTTAGGAAGGGTCAGAAGACTAGGTGAAACATTTTTCTTTTTTCTTTTCTTTCTTTTTTCTTCTTCTTCTTTTTTTTTTTTTGGTTTTTTTGAGACAGGGTTTCTCTGTGTAGCCGTGGCTGTCCTGGAACTCACTCTGTAGACCAGGCTGGCCTCGAACTCAGAGATCCAAGTGCTGGGATTAAAGACGTGTGACACCACCACGCAGCAAGACTAGTGGGAGTGGTCCAGGTAAAGAATCAGAAGAGGTGAGGAGGGGCCTGATGGCAGACAGCCCAGGCTGAGCAGGAGACAGGAGCCAACAAGAGACAGGAGTGCAGATGGCTGTGTGGAGGGAGGAGGGCTGAGGGAGGCCCTCTGTGATCCCTCTCTGAAGTGTCTATTGGCTCTGTCCTCTCTTGAATTTTGAAAGTACTGGCCTGTATTCACAGAAAACAAATAGCTGAATGTGGAGATTAGTAAGATACTATATGGGCTTCACAGTACAGCCCGCTCCGGCAGCAAGATGAACCTTTGGAGAGCTCTGTGGGAAGCCCAGTTGGTTTTTCTGGTTGTCTGAGGGGTCCGTTTTAGCATAGACACGCTGGCACACAAAAAGATGTCTAAACAAATGCTACTTTCTATGTTTATATGGAGAACTGGAGGGTGTTTTCTGTCCTGATTTTAGATTTTAGTGGTTTTATGGTTTACTTCAGTGAGCTATACCCAAGTCACGGCGTAGAAATATTGTTTAAAATATAGTGAAGTAGGGAATGGATGTCATCCTACTTCCGCAGATATTCATGGCAGGTAAGCTCCTGGCTTTTCAAAATACATTTTGAAAATTAGCTTCTGATATCAATCCTAAAGGACCTTTGGTTTTCAGTTTTGCTTTTTCTCTGTGGGTTCAGGGATCATCTTGCCTCTCTGCCATACCCACACTGGTAAGCTCTTTGCGTGGGAGGTTGGAAGGTGGGAATTCAGAGTTAGTGAAGCATACAGATACCCCAGGATGTTTCTTTTACTGGATTAGACATCACACTTTAGCCTTAAATCTTTGAGCAGGGATTCTTCGTCTGTGATGCAGGATAGTGGCGTGTGTCTCAGCGGATTATAAGGAGTGAACAATTTATTCATTGTGGAACGCTTATGCTGACTTCTGGCACCACCCTAAGCACTCAGTGTGAGATGGCTCTTATTTAGAGAATCCATTGTTTTTAATTACCTGTAACATTATTTGCGATGTTTAAACGCTGAGTGTTTGTGTTTGGTGGATCTGTGTATCTGTACTGGCACGTGGGTGGATGTGCATGTATGTTATGGAGGCCAGAGGTCTTTATTCTTTGAGACTGTATCTCTCAGTGAACCAGATCTCTCTCACTGGTTTGCTACCCTGGCTGGCCAAGAGATCTGAGCCTCTGCCTGTATCCTCTTGCCTCCCAGTGCTGCCGTTAGGGGCACGGGTGGCCGTGCCCAGCTTTTACGTCAGTGCTGGAGATCCGATCTCAGGACCCCGTGTTTGCACGACAGTCACCTTACCCACTGATCCCTCTCTCTAGCCGGCCCCTTCAATGTTTGTGCGTTGTGTGTGTACCTGTGTGTTTGCTTTTGATAGGATGTTTTCCTCTGTGTTTTGTGATTTTTTTTTTTTCTCCCTGGGGAAATAGGAAAAAATGTCTCTTCACCTTAGATCAGGACCAGTGATGGATCAAAGCAGTGATTTCACCCCAGCCTCGCTTCGGGAAACAGCGAGTTTCCTGGGACGATTCATTGATGAGAGGGTACTTACAGGAATGTGCATGAATGAAAGACAGCGGCCTACTGCAAAGCCCACCTTAGCATGTGTGAGGACTCCTGAAAGCTGGCTGGCTGGCTGGAGCTCCCTGCCTAGTTTGTGGGCAGCTCTCCTGAAGAGTCTCCTCCCAGCAAATGCGTACTGCGAGTCCTAATCTTGGGCAGGAGTTTGTGAATCTTGTAACTTTCCGAGCTCCCTCAGCCATCCAGGTTTTCTTAGGTTCTGGAGACTTGTAAGTCTGCCCCTTACCTCCTAGAGAGAACATTTCAGTTGTGAGGGGAAAGCTACGCAAAATACGGCCACAACTAAAATGAAGGGAATAAAGGAAAAAATAATAATAAAAAAAAACAAAAAACGAATAACTCCCCTGACGGACAGTCCAGCCTAGAGAGTGATGCCATTTCCTGAAGGATCCTGTTAGGTGGCCCTTCCTGCTCTTGATCAGTCAAGCACACATCTGTCATTCAATCTCCAACCCCTCAGTTTTCTCTCATTCTAGGCTCTTGCTGACTGCTGTTCCCCACTGGCCTTCACATTCCAGACACTTGGCCCATGTTTGTGGAAGGAATGAAGAAAGGGAAAACCTGCTTCTTTTTTTTCCAACAGTATTTGTTCTTCAGATAAGCACTTTGGTGTTTAACTCTTGAAGGTCCAGGCATTGCTGACAGGCAGCGTATGAGTTTATCTGCTATAACACATAGAGCCAATTGCTGCATATGGCTAGGGCGAGGCCTGTCCTTGAGGAGTCCCCGTCTAAGCTGTGTCGCTTGGGTGTTCTGGGATCCGTCTGGTGGCTCTTCTGCTTTATGCTAGAATGATTTGGGGCGAGTTAGCCCGACTTCTTCACTGTTTATCTGTGAAACCAGAGAACATACCTGGCTTCCTGCCTCCAAGGACCTGTGGGAAGTAAACAAATTTGCAAAGCACTTGGAGTCCTGCACGGGGGCCTAGTAATGCTGGAGCTGTTGAAGCTGAAAAAGCTCTCGTTTTTTTTCCTGTTCCACGTGACAGTAGTGAACGGCTCATAGATTATAGGGACGCTGCGCTTGAGTCTAGCAAACACGGGGCTAGCTCTCTGCAGGCGGCCGTGGGGCGACCCGGACTGACCTAGACTTCCTTGGGCTAAGCCATTGAGAGTCTTGGTGCTCCACCTTACCTTCCTCCTGAACCCTCCACTTGCGGGGCTAGCCTGCTGTTTGTCCGGCCCTTTTTACTTTGCGTCATTCGCTCCTTTTACGCGGCCTGTTCCTCGGGACAAGGACTTTGTTCTTTGT